TTAAATAAGAAAATAATAAACAAACAAATTTTGCTTTGCTCACATAAAGAAAAGAACATATAGTGTGCTTTGCAATTCTTGAGCATGTCAGTATTGACCATTACAATGAGGTAGGGTAAGAAATTATGATCATAGTATTGGCTAATTATGCAAGAAGGCAGGCAGTTTTCATCTTTCCTCTTGCAAGAAGCAGTAAAGATTTCTGAATGCATTAATTTTTCAAAAAAGTGTTGAATGTTTTATTTTTGCTTTATACAGAAAATATAGCCTTATTACAATCAAGCATCATGTGAAAACATTTTTGATCAGGGATGAACTGTGTATGTAGCAGTGATGCCATAAACTTATTAAGAAACTGAAAAATCTCTTTGGCCTTTGATGCCCTAAGATTGTAGCACAACATGATACTCACGCATGTGAGATCCAGATCTACACAGTCATGTACAGAAGTATAACTCACACAGTTAGTCATAGCACATTACAACAGGAGAAGCTTCTTATAGCTTGTGCTTACCATATTGCATTTATCACATAAATAGTCTATACCATTTGGTTTGTATGAATACACTAAGATATCAGATGTTTATACAATGATGAGCTAATCACTGATACATTTTCTAGAACATACTCCCTTAATAATAAATGTATAGTTGTATTTATATTTTAGAAATAATCTCAAATATTATACTGTAAAATTTAAGCTAAGTATTCAGATTCTGTAAGCTTTAAAAACATAGCTATAAGACATATAATGTTTCTTTAAATGATGATTGTAAAGATAAAACTAATGTAACATTAGAAAAGCAGTAAGCATGGTTCTCAGAACACAGCTCTTACATATTTAAAATTAGTTATGAATATGGTACTATGTAAATTCCACTTAATGTGCCATTAAAATTTAATGCTTTCTATGGAGAAATATGTATGTAAGACTCTAGATGGCGCTAATAATTAGGAAATCAGAGCTTAAACCAGAATGAAAGGTAAGTATCTCCAGGTGACATAATCACAGCAAAATTATATTTATTTGAAAAGTAGTCATAAAAGCAGCTAAATTGATTTCCATATGAGAATGTATGTCTATTTAAATTAATTCAAAGGAAATTAGTATCTAGCAATATTCTTAGAAAACTTGATCTCAGTGAAAAAAATACCAATGCATAAGAAATGGTATTTCTACATAGAATTTGTAGAAATAAATGTAAATAATGATATAGATTAGATACGTAGGAAATGGAAACACAATATACAAAACATTTGGGTTTAATAGATACCCATCCCTTATTCAGTAATAGGCTTATTGACAAGATTTCTCAGTTTCCTTGAGAAATTTCTCAAATTAGGAACTCAAGTATTTTGTACATTATAAATTTGTTAAATCCACAGATTGATAATATCAATAGCAAAGAATATGAACTGTGAACTCTGGGTGAAAATGATGTTTCAAGATAGGTGCATCAGTTATGACAAATGTGCCACTCAGGTGGAGCGTGTTGACCAGAGGTGTTGCATCTATGAGAAGAGGGGTGCAAGGGAATTTCATATTTTCTAATTAACTGCTATGTCCCTAAAAGGGCTCTGGGAAACAAGGTACATTAGCCACAAGCTGTAGACGGCATGCAATTTGACAGCTATAAGAAAGCCCACAGCTCTGAAAGATCACAGGAAAAGTATAACAAGGGAACATCTCAGAAGAGGGGGCCAGTGCCTTCTCAAAAATGAACAAAGGATAACTTCAATCCTAAAGTTGCAGCACAAAGATATTGAGGAGCTCCCAGACAGGGAATGCAAAAATAATCATCATGAGACTTTTTCAGAGACAATGAAAAATGTTGGGAAGAACTTAAGAAAATCAAGAATAACATCATCACAGAGATAAAACAGGTTCAAACTGAAATACTAGGGCTAAAGAACACAACAGAAAGCTTTAACAACAGGATGAATGCTGCAGAAAAAGTAATATCAGAGGTAGAAGATAACCAAGAGAATATCACACAACTAATCAGGCATCAGGAAGAAAATCTGAACAAAGCAAAAAAAAAAAAAAGGTATCCAAGAAATGAATGAATGATAGCATAAAAAATCAAATATTGGACTCATAGGAATTCCTGAAGCAGTGGACAGACAGGCAGGATTGCAGGAGGTACTCAATAAGATTATAAAAGAGAAGTTCCCGAGTAGTGGGAACATAAGGGAAAGCTAGATACAGGAAGGGCAGAGAACACCAAAGAGATTTTACCCAAATAGATACTCACCAAGACACATTGTGGTCAGGCTTCCCTCAACTGAACACAAAGAAAGAATATTGAACCAAATACGGAACAAAAAGAGCAAACAACATTCAGAGGAAAACCAGTCAGAACCACTGCTGACTACTCAGAAGAGGCCCTTCGACAAAAAGAACTGAGTAGCATTTTTCAATATTAAAACAGAAAAACTGTCAACCTAGGGTAATATATCCAGCAAAGCACTCATTTGTATTTGAAAGTGAAATAAAGTATTTTCATAGTAAATAGAAGTTGGAAAAATATGATAACGCTAACCCAGCCCTAGAAGCACAGCTCAAAAAGGTGCTGAAGTCAGAAAGGAATGTGTAAATTATTTAAAGGACTTATTTAAAGGAATCTGTTAAAGATTGTTAATCACAATCAACAATGGCAAAGAGGGAGATCTTCCCAATAAAGTCTGCAAAAGAAAACAAAGTTAAGACTACAACAAACACACACACACACATACCAGGACTAAATCACAACCTCTCAGTAATAACTGAATACAAATGGCCTAAACTCATCAATCAAAAGACATAGATTAACAGAATGAATCAAAAAGCAGGGCCCATCTATCTGTTGCCTACAAGAGACACTTCTAATAAACAAAGATGCAAAGAAGCTGAAGATGAGAGGATAGAAAAGGACATTTCTCAATCTGTTGAATGTCTCTTCATTCTGTTAATGATTACCTTTGAGGTGTGATAACTTTTGAGTTTTAGATAATTCCATTTGTCTTGTGTTTTCTTTATTTTTCATGCACTGAGGGGGGGTTGGGTAAGATCTTATCCAAGACATCATCTCTTCACAGAAGTCTAGAAGTATTTTTTTCTACATTTTCTTTCAGTAGCTTTATAGTCTTTAGGTCTTCAATTTAGGTCTCTGGTTTATTTTGTGTTGAGATTTGTGTATGGTGAAAGGTAGGGATCTAATTTCACATAGATAGGTAGATAGATAGATAGATAGATAGATAGATAGATAGATAGATTAGATACTATTCCCAATACTTGTATATTTCTTTTTCAACACCTTTTATTGAAGCAATTATTCTTTCTCTGATATATGGTCCAGCAACTTTTGTTAAAAATCAGTTGAATGCATCTACATGAACTAATTTCTTGGGTTTCTTTTCCACTGATTTATGTGTTAGCATTTTGCAAGTCCCATGCTGTTTTAATAATAGCTTTGAAGTGTATATTGAACTCAGACATCTTGATGTCTCCTGCTTACATTCTTTCCTCCCTCAGGATCACTTTGTCTATTCCAGGTCTTTCGTTATTCTCTTTGAATTTCAGGATTGCTTTTCTAGGCCACAAGCAGGAATCTGAATAACAAGAAGAATAGCCAGGACACGAACTGGCATTCACTGGGATATGGTGCTTTTAGACAGTGGATGAGTCAATTGAGCCAATGTGACAGCCCAGGAGTGCCATCTTTTGAAGCAGGAATTGTATTGAATTGGTGGATTGCTTTAGACACTATTTTAAAAATATTTATTGATTTATTTGAAAACCAGAGATACATAGAGAAAGTGCACACACACACACACATACACACACACAACCACACCCTCGCTTCATTGATTCACTTTTCAGATGGCCACAATGACCAGCACAGGAGCAAGCCTAAATTAGAAATCAGAAGCTTCATCCTTGTCTCTGACCTTGCTGTAGAGGCCCAAGCACCTGGGAGATTTTCTGCTGCTTCTCCTAGGCCAACAGGAGGGAGTTAGATTGAAAGCAGAGCAGTTGTAAAATGAACCAGCACAAGAATGAGATTCTGGCATTGTGGGTGGTAACTTAGTCTGCTACCACTGTGCTGGCCCCATGAGATAACATTTTAAATTTATGTTACAACCCAAGGCTTAGTAGTCCATTAAATAAGCAGTTAAACAATTAAAAACAGTACAGTTCGGCAGGAGTATAGGCAGAGTATAAACATTATCAACTGAAAAGATGTCTGTTTCCCACATACACAGGAGCTAAAGTCCTCATCTTATACATGCCAGGATCCATATGGGAGCTGGTTCTAATCCTGGTTGCAGTACCTACCATCCGACTCCCTGTTTGTGGCCTGGAAAAGCAGTCAAAAAAAGATGGCCCAAAGCCTTGGGCCCTGCACCCGCATGGGAGACTAGGAAGAAGCTCCTGGCTGCTGGCTGCTGGCTTCCAAATGGCTCAGCTCTAGATGTTGCAGCTGCTTAAGGAGTGAACCATCTGGGGAGTGAACCAGCAGATTAGATCTTTCTGTCTCTCCTTGTCTCTATAAACCTAATCTGCTTTACCAATATAAATAAATACATCTTCAAAAATTGTCAACTTCTTCTCAGACATTTATAATGTTTTGAGAGAAATTTAAGATAGTGTAAGTACAGGAGTACACCAAGTGCACAGATTGAACCTTTGATGTTTTGGTTTTGAGGAGCCACTACAGTTGTGGGCTCAGTTGCTGAGACCAGATGCAAGTGGCTCACACTGTGCTTCCTGTGCCTTTCTCTCATCCCAGAAACTGACAAGGACCTCAAGACCCCTTTGGACCTGGGAAATGTTTTAAAATGTAGTGTAAAATGATAATTTTATGAAAAAGTGTGCCAATTTGAGGATTGGTGAATAAGGAGAAGATGCACTGATTTTGATCATAGCAAGATACCGGAAAAACAAGGGACGACTTGTATTTATAGGATGCTGGTGGACAGAAATGTCAGTGAAAAGTCTAAAGAAAAAGTATAAGCACATGGGGCTTCAGGCTCACAGCAGCTCACAGGATGCCACCAATGATTCCTGTGACTGCCTTCTGGCAGGGTGAGAGGATGGTGATCTTGTCCAGGGGAGAACCTGTGGTCCCTCTGACTTGCAGTATGGGCAAAGGAGCTGTTGGATTAGTAGGATGCCCACTTCACCCTCTCAATGGAGAGCACATTGCTTCCTTCTCCTCCTTCCTCTAAGGCACCTGGCAAACACCAGGGGAAGTGCCATCCTCCCAGAATAAAGTGAGTAAAGGCTGCCATGGGCAGTGCATCTCTGAAGAGTTTTGTCAGAGGGAGAAATCTTCAATCATTACTGATTTTGAATCTTGCCTGGAAAGTTGAAAGGAGACAGGGTACCGATTTGATGCATTACTCTCATCTCTTCCTGCCACAAAAGAAGAGGACTCAGCTTGCCAACATAATGCACCACCTGACCTCAGCTGGGCAGACAGTTGACTTCAGAGACAGGGCGGCTCTCAATTTTGATGGGGAAGCTTGCAGGACAGAGCATGATTCTCTTGCATCCTGTGACTTGGGAAATTTTCACCCAATACTTAGGAATGACCCAATAAGGGCATAGTTTGTGAGTCCAAACTGAGAAGCTCAGAATTCCCTTAGTGTTGGCTGGCAAGATAGAGGGCTCTATGCTCACATTACTGAATCATAGATGCTATGTGAGATGTATGAGCTTGAGTAAATAACAGTGGGGTGGTTCATTCTTCTTGGCACAGAGAAGGGCAGAAGTAACAATCATGCCCGCCTGGAGTGATCATCCCTTATCCCATACTAACTACAGAGGAGATCCACCACAGGCAACTTGGGTATCACCCTGGACTTTTTTTCCTATCCACAAAATGCTGGTGAGAGCTTCTGGCCCCATCAAGCACACATCTCTGGAATACCCCCTGAAAGACTGACATTTCGCTATGCTTAGAGGTACATTCCAAAACAAAAATTTCAGAAGACATTTCAACAAGTGTTTCTCCAGATGCATACAAGTAAGTGTGGAAATACAGAAACATGAACCCAGCCTTAGGCAATGGCCTAGGTTGCCTTGTACCTAGACAAGTATCACACTGCTGGGAGAAAGTCAGGGAGTAGCTGACAAGCTTATGTCAGTTATACCAGAGAGCCAGAATAGTTGCTTATCCTTTTTTTCCCTTTTGTTTTAAAGATAAGTGGGGAAGGTGGGGAAACTCTGGACGGGACACACCACCTGGTACCCAGATGGGGTCGGTTTGCGGGGAATACAGATTCACCCAAGGAAAGGGGTCTGAGTACATATTGGAGTAGGAGCAGCTGAGGGCATGTTTGGCAGGCAAGGAACAACTTCTGAAGTCTTCCATGAACCAGGCCACTGCACCTGCAGATAGATAAGGGAGACAAGATGGAGTGGTTTAGAGGGGTGAAACTGGAGGGCATGTCTGGGTCAGGCTAAAGCATTCATCCATGTGGGAGATCTGGGCTGGGTTAAATTGTGTCACCCCCTGCCCATTGGACCTTGTAAAGCTGCTGAATGTTGAAACTGAGGGTGGGCCATCTCAGACTGGGGCATAACATCTGCTGGGTCATGCAAGACCCATTGCTGGGAGTGAGCCTGGTAGGGGAATTTGGGGGATTCCTTTGCTGGGCTGCTGCTTTCTCTGGTGAATGTGAGAGCTGAGATTGGGGGTGGGCTTAGGAAGGCTAAACTGCTGTATTATACACGCTGGTGTGTGTGAGAGCCAGAATGGGTAGGCCTGGCAGAAAAACCAGCTGGCATGTGCTGGGACTGGGTAATAGTCATGTCAGGCTGAATCTTAGTAACTACTAGCATGCACACAATCCAGATCTGGGAGCATGCCTGGCAGGGGAACTGTGGGCACTCCCTGCTAGGATGCACCTATTTCTGGTGAGCACCAGGTGTAAGGTTAGGCCAAGCTGAAAAAGCCAGTGGCACCCATTACCATACATGGAGACTGGCTCTAGGGATGGGATGGGATGGGCTGAGCTAAGCTGCAGCACTCATGAGTATACATGAGAGACATATGAGATGTGGGTTGGGCTGGGCCACAACAGAGGCTAGCATGAGCAAAACCAAGGTTAGAGGTAGGGTTGGTGAGGGTTACTGGGGGGTTGCCCTAACTAGGCTATGGTACCTGCTGGTATGTGTGAGAACTAGGTTTGTGGGTTAGCTAAGCTGGTTGTAACACATATCAGTTCATGTGAGCTATGGGGCTGGGACAGAACTGACCAGGAAGCTGCATCTAACGTATATGTGTAGGCTAGTACAAGTGACAAACTGCAGTTGATCACACAATGGATGGCACACAGGAGTCAAGTCTAAGGTCACCTCAGGCAAGTTTCTTGGGGGACAACCCAATTAGACCGCTGGACTCAAATTCTGGCCACAGAGAATATCACAGGGTGTATGGTCTGGCCTTTGAGTGCATATATAGGAACTGGGCTCCCACAATAGCTGATACTGGGTGGTAGACAGCTTGTCCAGACATAGATGGGGCAATGATGGCCAGCTCATCTTGGTCAGCAGGGGATATTAACTACCTCATCAGAAAATAGAAGGCAGAACAGGTTGGATAATTCTTCTGGCCCAGCTTTGCAACATGATCATGGGTCTGTGGATGCTCTAAGGTGGACTCTGCCAACCAACAGACTTTGGGAAGATAAACAATTCATTAGAAAAAATACTGAGGGGCCCGGCGCGGTGGCGCAAGTGGTTAAAGGTCCTCGCCTTGCACGCCCGGGATCCCATATGGGCGCCAGTTCTAATCCCGGCAGCCCCGCTTCCCTTCCAGCTCCCTGCTTGTGGCCCGGGAAGGCAGTCAAGGACGGCCCAAAGCTTTGGGACCCTGCACCCACGTGGGAGACCCGGAAGAGGCTCCTGGCTTCGGATCGGCATAGTATCGGCCCGTTGCGCTCACTTGGGGAGTGAATCATCAGACGGAAGATCTTCCTCTCTGTCTCTCCTCTCTGTATATCCGCCTTTCCAATGAAAAAATAATAAAAATAAATCTTTAAAAAAAATAATAATAAAAATAAATCTTTAAAAAAAATACTGAGTGAAATTGAAAATCAAGAACAATATTCGCAGGAGAAAACCTAAATTTTCTCAAAGTAGGGGAAATACTGATTATTTTCACTGGTAATTAGCAAAACTCAATTGTAAATTACACTGAAAGAGAATTTCATTTGCACCATAATGATAAATCAAAATTGGTGCTATTAGTGGACATTAGGGATCCATCGGTCTCAAGCAGGAGTTCCTAAAGGAAAGTTGTACTTATCAGTAACCATAAAAGATACAGAGGGAATATATAACTTTGTGAAGAACTTGCCTCTGTGTGAAACAATATGGGAGTGTCCAGAATGTGGAAACGGGGATGGGAGGGCCTCTCCCTCTCAAGTAACAGGTATCTTTATACATTGCATTTAAAACTCTAAACCAGTTCTTTTGCAGCTTTCCTTGGTTTATTGGTGAGTTGATCGCCTATGCATGAAACTCTACAAAACAAGTCCTCCCAGTGCATACTCTACATTACAAGCTCTCAGGAATATCATTTTAAATTTACTGTCCTTATTCCTGTGCCTCACTCTTGACCAAACCCCACATGCATGGTCCCAAAATCATGTGAAAGTCATTTGTCAGAAGCTACCTGCTTAGAGCTAGTTTCAACAAAGGAAGAAAAGCCAGTGTAATGGAATTGGTGAAATCATGAGTTAGGATTAAAGCTTTTTCATGGGTGTAACTGTAAGCAATCTAAACTGGCTTATAAATGTATTTTTAAAGAGCCATGTCAAGGAAATTTGTCATTCCCTGAATGACTCCTATCTGGAAACCATTGAAATATGACAAGTCATTAGCACTAGTCAGACAAGTTTCATCTCATTTGTTCTTAGATTTCACCCAACCCATTAAAACCCCAACCAAGCAACACTGGATGTAACACACAATCAACAACCACACCAAAACATTTCCATTTCTATCACTACTATCCTCATCGCCATCATTGCCATCACCATTGTCACCATCATTAACCTAGGCACTGTCACAGCAAAACTCACCTCATGTATAGGTAAGTGGCACTAAACCTGGGAAATCTAATAACTGATACAGAATATCGTCTAGATTTCGTTTCTGTTGTCATTATGAATCGGTTGCTTTTTATATCTTAGGCTTTATTCCTCTATATTATCAAAATAATATTATTGCTGAAATGCATGGTATTGCTTGAAGTATCTGAGAAAATCAAAAAGTTAGAAAAAAAAATAGAATTCCAGAGAATTTTGCCTTTTGGGAAAGAATATAAATATACTCACAGATTACCTTGCAATATCAAGAAAATGAAATACCATTATACACGGTTTTCAAATGCATTCCTTTCTGCAGGCTTTTTTCTTTTCCAGGGGAAAAAGCAGAAGTAGAGGCAATTCAATACTTTTGATTATATATTTTTTGTCTAGTCTTTATTCACAACTGTTGCCCTAAGAGTTACCTGGCATGAACTTTCTGGAGAAACACAGTGAGGCTAATATTTCAATATGTGAATAATTAATTACCATAATTTTAATATTATTATTAAGTTCATTGAGGTGTATGGTCTACTGTGCCAAAATAGCACAGTATAAATTTAGTCCAATAAATGAGCAACTATAGTTTAATTAAATACATGAAGCTGATTAATCAATTGAAGATAAATTTTTAACCTTCTCTGTATTAAATGAAGGATGCATCCTAGAATGCAAGTTCCTATAGCAAGAATTTGCATGACTCTAAATGTATTTTGTAGATTAGCTGGTGAATGGATTTCTTTTGATAATTAGAATATTTTATAAATTCAGTTGTTATTCAAAAACAATTTCTAGAGCCAACACATTTCGTTTATAGAAAGAGGATCAGATTAATCATAAATAACTATAATTTGAATATAAAATTTTTTCTAATTATTTTTGATAGAAAAACTCTATGGAAGAAATGGGTCATATCAGATTTATTGCGAGCAATATGTGTTCTTTAGAAAACTCCAGAACATCTAAAAATGATTTTTAGAGAAAAATGTCTAAACTATTATGATTATTTCTGTGTAGAAATCATATCCCTTCTGCAATGCCTCAGAAAACTAAAGACTAAATTAATTGGCTAACTCAAAACAAATCTGATGGATTACACTCACATGTGCACCCTTTCTATTTATTACAAGAAATGCATTTGTGAGCATTATTTAGAGTTACAAATACTATGTAGGAAGCATTATGCCTGCATGGTCTTTGCTTGGAGGATGAAGTTAAACAATAGAATTACAGTATGGAAGTATACATGGATTACATCGGGGAGTTTCCCTGAAGAGGTTTGACAAATGACGTCAGTTCTGGGAAACCCTAATTAACTAATCATCAAAAGAGACAATAAGGTACAAGGAAGGGTTAGGATTAAGACTAGAGGATAGAATGAAGAGGAAGTAAAACTGGGTGGAGTTGCACATGTGGTATAAGATAATTTTCAGAGAAAAAAACTTACTTAAAAGTAATTTTATCGTGGGAGAGATGAGAATGAAAACATTCACATATTCTTTGGAAATAGCTACTCTTTTAAATACATTCCTGATTATGAGTTTTTCTTCTTATAAGAGTTGTTCAGAACTTCCAGAATATGAAGTTTTACAAATGATTGAGGTTGTATGACATTTGAAACAATGTCCTTCCTCCGAATGACATCATGCCTTTCAGAATATGAACAATGATCAGTGTCCAAGCCTTAAACAGGTTAAGTGTGGCCATAAATCTAACGATAACCTTAAACTATTCTTTCAATGGGATTCGAAATGACAATATTTGCTGATTCTTCTTTAACTAGCTGGCTTGGATGATGAAGCAACTTTGTTAATCTATGTTAACAGCAATGATCTTCATATGCTGAACAAAAATTTAAATGGACAGCTAGGTGAAAAGTTAAAAAGATTGATAAGTCCTATCAATAATCTCATAATAGAGTGATTACTATACTTGACATTGTGACATTTCCTTATATATTTATTACACCGATAGGTGCTTTATATGTTTGTTGCCAGCCGCATCTGCATGTACTGGCCACATGCCGTACCCAAAATGGTGCCGGCCGGAAAAGCCACACCTTGGTTCCTGGTGACGTAGCTTTCGCGGTACTGCGCAGGCGCCTAGCGCATGCGCAGTGAGCTGAGGCGTGGCTGGCGCATGAACACTGGGACTGACGAATCCAGTCGCCCAGGACCCTGCGTAATCATGACGCCGACCTATCATCGGCGGAGGCGGGGCCAGTCAGCACATAAGAGCAGACAGCCTGCCGGGGTCGGTGCCTTTCCCTCCTCATCTTGGTGCGCGCAATAAAGATTACCGCAGAAGACTTCACTCGCGTCTGCCTCTTATCGCCGGACGATAAGAAACGTGGGCGCGACATATGTTTAGTTTATAAGTCTTCATTTGTCCATGTAATGATATTGCCATAGTTTGCAAAATTCCAGTGCAAATATACTTAATGTTTTATAACCTGTTTTATAAAAAAATCAATTTCCCCTTAAGAATATGAAGCAGAAACATTTATGTTGCTCACTAATGTATTCTCAGCATGTAATATGACACTCAAAGATGATTTACTAAATGAATGAATATAAAGATCTATCAGGCATTTGAGACTTCAGTATTTTAAACTATCATAAGGAACTATTAGTAAACTATAATTCATGCTGTGGTTTGAAGACACAGGTAGTTTTGGAATCAATGTCATCTGACTTTATCATTTTTATCTTTTGTAGGCCCAGAACATCATCAAAGAGATCATGGCCAGTATGGATGGTAATTGTCATTTTCCTTGGAGTGGTGGCAATCTTGGCAGTCACTATCGGACTCCTTGTTCATTTTCTGGCAGTTGGTCAGTATTGGCTCTATTCAGTCTTCACCAATACTAACAAATGTTAAATTTTCAACATCTTCTTGGAAATTCTTTCATTTACTTACTATTACATTTCAGTACCATTGTGCCCCATGATGTGAATCAGATGATTTCTCATGTTTGTCTCTAAACATGGCTGAATGGACAAGACAGAGGTGTTCCATATGGATATGAGCAGGAGTTGAGTAGGCCTTTAGCCGAGTTATGGCAGCCTTTAGGAGTCATTATACCCTCTAGTAAATAGAGTTGAGAGCTTGGAGATCCTTACTCTTTGTGGCTCAGTTCTGCTATTGAATGTTAATATCTGATATATTGAGTAGCAATGAGTAATAAATAACTCTTCTAGCAGCAAATGTTAGATGTCACTTAAAGAACTAAATTTTCACACAAAAGTTCTTACTTTTGAAATTTATATTAATAGTATTCTCATAATGGTAGATTTTCTCATTTGTTTTTACCTTTTAAAAAATAAACATTTAAAAATTTTCATCATTTTTTATTTTAAAAGAAAGTTACATTCATTATTGCACTAAGTAAAAATCCTCTGACTTAAGAACAGCAGATTTTGCTAGTGTCCTATTTTCACAAGCAGTAAACTGTAGCTTGGAATAGTCAAGTGAATTATTCTAAGCTGGTTAAATGATTATGATAATGAAAGATAGATAGACCTTGCATTTCTTTTATATTACAGTGAAATTACTTATTTTAAAAATGTGATTGTATCATTTTTATTTCTAATAAAGGTACAAATTCTATAGGGCCTCATGATTCTCATTTAGCTTTAAAGTCCTTTTTGAGACCAATTTCCAAATACAATCATGTTTGCATCTAGGGCTCCAACAATACATTTTGAGCCAAACACAATTAATAATAATCAAGGGAAAGTTAGTTTAAATGATTTATTTGCATATTTAAAAGACAGAGTAAGAGGGAGACACAGAAAGAGAGAGACACACACACACGCATACACACACACACACACAGATTTATCCATTCTTTGCTTCACTCCCAAAATGTCTACAACATGTAAGATGGTGCCAGCTGAAGCCATGAGCCTAGCAGTCCATCCAGATCTCCAACAAGAGTGCCAGAAACTCAGACAGTTAGACTGTCATCTACTGCATCCCAGGTGCTTGAGCAGGAAGCTGGATTAGAAGTTTAGCAGGCAGGATTAAAATTAGCATTCTGATATGGGATCCCAGCACTGCAAACAATAGTTATATTAGCTGGGCCATAACATTAACAGAAAGTTTATTTTAGAATGGTTTCCCAGTAATATAATTAAAGCAGAAATCTAAACATCATAATTTCTTTGAATCTGGGCACAGTATGAATAAGTATTGATAAATTAGTACTTGTAAATACTCAAGTTCAGCATTCGGGATACAATACAAACTTATTTTGTTTTGTAACTTATTTTGTATTGTATCATATTTGTTTATTCTAATTCCTTTAGTGACTTGCTTCACAGGTTATAATTATACCTTACTAGCAAAAAGTACATTCTATATATTGTCTTTTGTACTTCAATTTTAGTGAAAAATACAAAAAGCAGAAAACAGAGGAAGCTGAAGTGTAAGCTAAGGTAGTAGAGCCTGTGTGCGCAGCGCCGAGACGAAGTGCTGGACAACATGGTCTAGGATCCACTCATACGGAACTTGGCATTCGATTTTCTTATGCACTGGTTGCAATATGGAAAAAAAAAACAGGAAAATAAGAAACAGATTTTTACTTCACATTGAAATTATTTCTGACTCCCAAGTCCCTGACTGATTTCTGTTTGGGAGGTCATACTTCTAAGTGTTTTCGAGACTTATGATGTGTTTTCTTTTATTTCTTAATGTGTACATGTTTACCAGCTGGACTGTAATATTTTAATACATGCATACAAAGAGCACTGATCAAGTCAGAGTAATCCTCACTCCCCCTTCTTTGACATTATTTTATAATTAGACCCTTGGAATTCTTCCATTTACTCAAAAAAACCAACAATGGGTTACAGAAACTATCATTATCACACTGTGCTAGATAACACTTGTAACTTATTCTTTTAGTCTAACTCTGATTTTGTGGATGCTATTTAAACTACCCCCTGAACTATACCTAAGGTGAATCAAAAACCCAGTCACTTTCAAAATGGATGGAAGATTAATTCTTTAATCCACACAGGCACTATTTTGTATAGAGTTTCTACTTCTTAAAGTATTCTTAGGACTTCTAAGAGCAGCCTCTTCAGCTTGTCCTGTTTCATATTATAGTGGGCTATTGTGTCAAGCTGACGAGCAGTTTAGAGAGAAGGAAAATAAGGATGTGAACCCTTATGATGAATATAAGTCATCACCCACCCACCTTATGCTATATTCAAGTACAAGGCCAAGGTGAGGCACTCAGTGGATGGTTTTCAGGAATGCAAAGCAGACAGCAGGAAAATGGGTAAAGAAACCGTGCAGGAGAGTGTGAGTCGTGGAGTCATCCAGAGTGAAAGGTGGTGCTTGTGATGCTCCCATCAGAACTGCCTGGAAAAGTAAATTGATCACTCACTAGACTAAGAGTTCGATATGAAAAATGGGAGTCTCTCCTGTGCACACACAGGTGACCTTAGTGGTTTCTGATGCTGCTATCTTGAAGATTGTGCTTAAGGTATGCAGAACTTAGCAGGGAAGTGATGTCTTTCTTGGATCAACTCACTGAATGAATGCTGGGTAGTTTCCAGGTATGTAATCTTCTGGCTGTCCCCTGGGCTGCTTTAAAAAGCCAGATTGCCTGTCCATTTCAAGACACAGAGAAGGATGAACTTGCAGCCTCATCTTGGTTTTAAATTCTTGGAATATTTCTTTATTTCACAGGAAAGATGCACTATTACGAAGGTGTTTTTCATATTTCTGGAGTCACCTATAACGATACCTGTGACAGTGCAGCTTCACAAGCCAGTACAAACCTGAGCAAAGACATTGAGACTAAGGTAAATCAGAATTGTTTTATTAGTGTCTTTGTAAATTTGGCTGAAGTACACACGGGGTTGTTTTTATTCTCTCTTGACAGATGTCAGATGCATTTCAAAATTCTAGTATTTACAAAGAATATGTTGACTCTCAGGTCATCAAAACTCTGTAAGTACAAAATAATTGAGAACCTTATGGAAAAGAGGATATGATGTGTGAATGGCACAGCAACATAAAACAGATAAAGACGGAGGAAAAGAAAGAAAAGCAAAGAACTTAAAAGGAGTTGGGTATGAGAGAACAAAGAAACATTGGAGAGAGGAAGGGAAAAAGTGAAGGGGAGGGAGAAAAGAAATGAGAGAAGAAAGTGGGAGGATTAATGTAAGAGTGTCAGAGAAACAAAAAAAATGAGCTCTATCCAAACTGAACTATGATTAATATTTAGCAAATTAGTATTAGTATGATTAGTATTAGGAAATAATTAAGGAAAGATCCACTATATTCAAAACTGTGATTACTTGTCTATTTACTAGGGGTTATAAGGTGATTGTTGATCAGTCCTAAGTGGCTCTGTGAAGAAAGATAAATGTGACTATGCAGAAAATAAGGAGTCCAATATCATTAATGCAGTGCTTATCCATCGCTGGCCAACTCTCCCTACCCATACCAGTGAGATCACACGTAACCTAAAGGGATCTTATTAGGGGTGCTTCATTGAAGAGTGAACTAAAGCCAACCTTTGGAAAAACTCTTCCACAAACTTGCCTTTGGAGGATGCTTAGGATGACCTTGGCAGGGAGGGGTGCAGGACGGGAAGAGTGGAGCATGAGGGAAATGAGAGAAGGGAAGCGATCACCTATGATCTGGAATTGCATTGTCTATTCTGGGAAACCTCGAACAATGAAGATAAATTGAGTTGCCAGATCAACCAGTGTACTTAATTGCTTACAAACAGAAACCTTTAAAGAACCTTCTTCGCTTGATCAAATTTATTTGAAAATAGATTTGTGAGCTTCGTTTTAAAATTCTAATTGATATAACTTTGTTTTTCTTTGATAGTCTTCCAAAACGAATCAACTTCCTTTCCTGAAGAACCAGGAGTGTACTGAACTCAAAGATAATTCAGATTTATTTGTGTTTTTGAGTTGTTTTCCTGAATTTTATGCTTGTGTGGGTCTATGGGGCTTGATTGGTTGTGTATCAATAGCTGTAGAAGCTTCAGATTGGACCCTGAATGTATGCTGGAACTTTTCCTTTGAGTGCTTTGTCTTGTCTTTATCATTCATCTTTTTCTTTAAAATTAAGTTACTAGGAAAAAAATTTGTAAGAACACTGGTTTTTACTGTATTATAATAAAGTACCCGCCAGTATCTAGCTGCTCTTATGTGTTTGAATGATTCTAATTTCTAGTTTAGGATCCCAGGCTTTACCATACAGTGACTCTGAGCCAGCAGAAGATTTTTAGGAACTGTTACACTTCATATACTACATATTATATTTATCCTGCGATGTAGTTAGAGAGATATTATGTATTTTATAAATATTCTTGAATATCTGTAAAGCAAATGTAGTTAACAGGTGGAAAACTTGATATGTTCACTACAACATCAAGAAGTACCACATCAAAATGCTTCTGTTGCTTATAGGCCTGAAACCAATGGCACCAGTGTACAGTTACGGCTGACGTTCAAGTTTCCTCCAGCAAAGAATGGTGACATGAGGACTGAAATTACAGCCATCCTGCTTCAAGTGTTGAGAGACAACATGGCATCCTGGAGTGCAGTTCCTGCTTCCTTTAAACTTACAGGTACATCCACTATTTCCATTATATTCTAGTACTCGAACTTCTGGAGCAATTTAAAAGACTGTAGGGTAAAAATTAATTGAAAGCTTGGAAATTTAGGGGGAGGGACATTTTTATCAAACCCTGGCACTCCTAGAAACGAGTTAGTAGTGGAAGTGGCAATGCCATAAAGGCGTTGTTTAACAAGTGATAGGGGTAAGTTTATTCAGGAACATTTAGAAAGTGGGTGAAGGTTTCCAATGAAGCAGTCTTTCCCTCCTCTTCCTCCTGCCAGGACATCATGATAGACAAAGAGAGTTCTCTTGGTTATTCACTAAGGGGACTGCAGGGCTAAATTGCAGCTGGGGGAAGGGGCTTGTATCTATTCTTGCAGAAGAATTAGTGTAGTGTCTCTTTGAAAAGTTGTAATAATCCTCTTAGAAAAAACAATGAAAGAAAGTAATAGCATTTCACCCTTGTACAAAAAGGAACCTTTTTCAAGATCAGGAAGATTCTGCCTGCAAAGGTTTCGAAAGTCTCACCTCAATTGTTAAACTGTAAGGAAAAGCATGTGGTTTAAGCATCCCTAACTTGCAAACAGTTGATCTTAGTGTCCTTGAAGGCTCAAGAGGCCATCAGTAGCCAGTTACAGACCCTTTCCTTCAGAGCACACACTCTGGTGACCAGTAAACAGACCACTGCTGAAGAGGGAGTGTGAGGTAGAGCTTCCCCAGGGCGCCGTGAGGGTCCTCTGCAGGTGGTTGTAAAAGACAGCTACAGGGTTCTAGGACCAAAAGTCAGCACATGTCTGTGTTTCCTTTAACCCTGCCCCTCTTATTTTCTGAAATCTCACACAATCCAAATATTTATAAGACTGTCACCTTACCTCATTGACTATTTTACTGCAAGTATTACAAGTTGTCTGATAGAGATGGGGAGACATGTTGAAAATATAACAGTTAAGCATTAAAAGGGCTGTAAGTAATTGTGGACTAGTCTGAACAGTTAAATGTTGGGCATAATTAGACTGGAAAAGTTAGCATTTATTTTGCAATGAAGGTTAACTGGTTGGTGATATTTTATCACTGTTTCCTTTTTATTTTGTTTTTACTTTCAGAAATCAGCAAGGCTAATTCTGAAATGCTTGTCAATAACTGTAAGTTAATGAGCTTTAATTCAATATAGTCACAAATGAGCTTTAATTCAATATAGTCACAAATGTTTCTATGTATTTTTATGAAATATATTGAAATATGCTATGTGGAAATCCATAGTATTTTTCTTTGCTTTATATATTTTTAATTTGTTACATTTAAATATGTTAATATGTAGAGAAAGGTTTAATGAGTTTCATAGATGCAATTTAAGAATACATGGGGGGCCAGCACAGTTGTACGGTACACTAAATCTCTGCCTGTGGCATCAGCATCCCATGTGGGCAGCAGTTCAAGTCCAGTGGCTGGCCTTGCAATTGAGTTCCCTGAGAATGGCTTGGGAAGGCAGTGAAGGAGGGCTGTAATGTGGAAGACCTGGAAGAAGCTCCTGGCTCCTGACTTTGGATCAGCTGAGGTTTGGTCATTGTGGCCATTGTGGTCATTTGTGGAGTAAGCCAATGTTGGGAGACTGACCTTGCTCTCTGTCTCTTCTCTCTGTAGCTCTGCCTCTCAAATAAAGTAAATCTTTTAAAAAAAGCATATAATGATGCTTTCCTTCTTTCTCTCTTCCTCTATCTTCCTTGCTTTGTTTCCTTTTTTCTTTTAACATTTTTTGGGATGAAATATGTTCAATTTACTTACTTTATAATTATAGGCATAATGTTCCTTTAGCCAAAGGGTTCTATAAGTAAAATGTAAATAGACCATGGCTGCACAGCAGTACAGAGAAGGAATATAGACAACAATCATATCACAACGTGATATATTTTAATGTATTTTTGTACACTTTATATTAGCTATAACCAGCCAGGGAAAGTGTAATGATTGCCTTTGTGGGATCTAACCTAAAAATAATTGCCATTAAGCATAATGGTCTCAGTTTTGTTGCAAAGGACAGGATTTCATTCTTTTTTAGTGGCTGAGTTGTATTCCATCATATGTGTTTCTTCGGTATCTCAGCTGATGGACATCTAGGGTGATTCCACATCTTAGCTATTGTGAATTGAGCTATAGATAAGTCTTTCATTTGCTAATGTCATTCATTTTGTGTATATCTCAGGAGGGAGATGTCTGGTTCATCTGGTAGAAAGTGTTCGGATTTCTAAGGCATCTTCTTAGTGCATGTACATTTTACATTTCCGCCAACAGTATATTACAGATTTTAAAGGTTACTGAATATACTAGATACAGATCATGAGGTTTTTTTTTCCTGAACACTGATACATAAATATCAATATTTTCAAGGAGTTGTAGAGGGTTTGTTTCCAATGACCTACAGACTACCACTTGACCCCATTTCCTAAATGCTAAAATTAGGTCAGTTCTCCACTCAATTCATTAACTGTTACTTAAGATTTCAGACTTTAACATTTACATGAGTTTGCAGAGCCAATTCTCACTCAGTTCATAAAAGGGACAACTTCATCTGAGAAGTAAAGACAAACCTACATTCTATGTCATATACATTTATTGTACCATAAAAATAATTTTGTATCTTTTAAATCAGTTGTGGGGAAACTTCTTTTTTTTTCATTTTAGTAGATTTTAATGAAAGCAGTATTTGTAGGATTGCTTTATGCCTGCATCTTCTCAATTGTTTCTTCTTTACATTTGCCCTTCTCCTCTCTTATGTGATGCTATTTGACTTCCCATTCAAGGATCATTTTATAGTATTTGTCTAGTTTTATCCTAGTGATAACCACTTTATGATAATGAATGTCCACTTGGAAGTAGCATCACTGACCTGATCTCCCACTCCCTGTCAGTGTAGATGACATATTTATTTCTTCCAATGAACCTGATCTACTTTGCCAACTTGTTGACATAGATAATGGCTTCAAAAAGCTTGCATTTCACCATCCCTTAGGATGGGCATGAATCCACATTGTGTAAAAGTCTCAGCTCTTTGGAAAGAAAGGAAGAGCTAATCTTTCTTCAAATGTAGAAAAGGGCATTGAAATCCTTTTTGAAATCTTGTTTTGGGCAGAGGTCACCATCAAATTGAATCTCATTTTGGCTGCTGCATCTCAGACATTGACTATAAAAGAGAAAAGGGAAGAATCTACGATCTCAAGGAGTATTTGGTTGTTCACAGATCATGCAAAATTTCAGCTTCAACGTTTGCCTGCTACAGATTTACTGAATTTTGAATTCCATCTGATTTTGTCTTGGCAAAGCCATACCAAATGATTTTGTAAGCCTTACAAAGCCTGCAAGCTGGAAATTCTCCATTCTTGCTTTTCAGAGTATTTTGTCACTCACAAGATATATTTATAGATTTGTTCATTCAATGAATATTCATGGACTATCTATTATTCACATGTGTCTAACAGACACTCTGTATATGCTGGGCAAGAACTCAGCAATCATAATGGGTTCTCTACCTTCAAGATCTTTGCAATTCATTTAGAGAGAAGAGAATTTTGAGGAAGAGACCAAATAAAAGGCAAGAGTTAACAAGAGTAGAAAGGAGGGCAAGAATCACCAAAGTGTTGATGGTGTGGTGAGCCATAGTAACAGCATCCTAGAAAAGGCACAATCTTCATCAAGAGATGCTGGATTCCCACTGCTGGTTTTCAAGCAATGTTTGGGATAACCTTTTTCTAAAGCAGAATCGAAATTGCCTGATATATATATACATCTCCTTTCTCTAGGTTGTGGGAGACGACTGAGCAACAGTATCACAACTGGTAATCGAATAGTCAATGGGGAAAATGCCCTGGCAGGGGCATGGCCATGGCAGGCCAGTATGCAATGGAAAGGCCACCATAGCTGTGGAGCATCTCTGATCAGCAGCAGGTGGCTCTTGTCTGCAGCTCATTGCTTTGCTAGGTAAGTCAAACAGTCTGTGTGAAGGATGTTGGGTGCAAGTCTATTTGGATTATCCTGGAAGGGTTAAGACAAGGTGATGGTGGGGGTGGTTGGGGTACAACAAAAGGAAGTCACACTTTCTAATCATAAAAATTCCATATAGAAGGTGTAATTTAACCCATAGAAAGAGGAGGAGACCAAGGTTCAGAAAAGCAATGGATTTGACTTTAAAAATTGCAAGCTATCAAATAATAGACACAGAATATATGACTTCAGTTCTATATGATTTATCTTGTTATATAGAGATTTACAATTTAGCTGAAAAAAGGAAAACTTCAGCTATGGAAAGTATGATGAAATAGCACAGTAAATGCTATAAGAATTTGAACAGAAACATGGTGTGTGGGATGGGCATTTAGTCTAACAGTTAAGAGACCACATCACAATTTGAGTACATAGCTTTGGTTCCCAATTCCAGTTTCCTGCTAATGGACATTCTGGCAAGCAGCTTGTGATAATTGAATAATACCTCCACATGAGGTGCCTCAATTGAATCTCAGATCCTGAATTTGGCCACTCAAACCCTATCATTCTTAGTGTTTGGTATGTGCACTAGCACATGGGAAATCTCTCTTTCTTTTGCTATGGTTCTCAAAGTAACTACACGTTTTAGAAAAGTTTGTCAGTATTAGGAAAATAGTGGATTGTTTGTGAACCTCATGATTGAAAATCAATGATAATGACCATCTAGACCATTGTTGTAACCCAGACAATGGGTATGTTTTAATTAAATTGTGTCCTCCAGAAAAAATAACATGGAAGATTGGACTGTGAACTTCGGAACTATTGTAAATAAACCATATATGACACGAAAAGTCCAGAGAATTATTTTGCATGAAAATTATAGCAGTCCTGCGGTCCATGACGATATTGCCCTCGTGCAGCTTGCTGAAGAAGTCTCCTTTACAAAGTACATTCGTAGGATTTGCCTTCCTGAAGCCCAAATGAAGCTCTCAGACAATGATAGTGTCGTAGTTACAGGTTGGGGATCACTTCACATGTTTGGTAAGTTTTTCTGTGTAAATACAATAGCTTTATGGGAGCAATCAATAAATCATTCCCAGCACACAATTAGTAAACAATAAGAATATTGACAAAAATACCTTGTGGCAGACAAAAACATGATGTCACATCATGAAAAATTTCCAAAATATGCTTGAGATTAGGCATGAGGAAATTGCATCTATGTGTAAGGCAGCTAACTATAATAAAAATCCTGTGATGTCACTGATCTGACCCTGGCGACTAAAAGAAAATCCTTTATACTGTAGATGTTCTATGCTACAATAAACACGATCTCACTAACACACAGCATTTGTTGCCTTTAGGTGATTTCCCAGAGATACTTCAACAAGCCCTTGTGAAAATTATTGACAACAAAATTTGCAATGCCCCACATGCACTGTCTGGCCTTGTGACAGAAACAATGCTGTGTGCTGGATATATGTCAGGCAAAGCAGATGCCTGTCAGGTACGTCTGGCTATAGTATCCGATCACTTCCTCCCAAAGTGTCCGTTAAATAATATTTTTATCAACATGAAATATTTTTATGAGCTTATATTTTTATTTATATTTTTATTTAATGAGTCCTGCACAGCACCTACTTATTTCACTCTACCTTAATCTATCAATGCTATTTATGTGTCAGACAACAGCCCAGATATTGGGAATGATGTTGTAAGTTTAATTTCTGCCTTCATGAAATTTTCAGTGCAAGAACCTATACAAAGAATTACACTTATTAATCTTCAAGTTAATTTGGGTTATGTTTCCAGGCAGCCTGGGGATCTAGAAGGCTCTCTCCTTAAGGGAGTCAGTGGGAGGTTATGCAGGATATGGACCATCCACTGTATTGGGGAGCTGGCACATAGTCAAGGCTGGGCTCTGGGAGGCCAATGACTGATCTTGCAGTTAAAGGGAATGTATTCTGGTTTGTACCTATCCCAGGTTTTTAAAACAATCTAAAAATTCCAAAATTTTTGGCAGCAAAGATTAATTTGTCTCAATGACCAGAGGATTATTTTTTTTAAACTCCAGAAGTGAGACAAAATGAAATTCCTTCATAAGAATAGTAACACTATTTCCTTTCTTCTTCTAGAATGATTCTGGTGGACCATTAGCTTACCCTGACTCCAGAAATATCTGGCATCTTGTAGGAATCGTGAGCTGGGGTGATGGATGTGGGAAAAAGAATAAGCCCGGTGTCTACACACGAGTCACCTCTTACCGTGACTGGATTACCTCCAAGACTGGACTCTGAGAGAAAAGCATGAAGAGAAACTCAGGGCAGTCTTATCTATAGGCTCAAGTAACTTTCTTTTGATGTGTGATAAAACAATTATTTTTATATACCAAAACAAAAACGTCTTTATCAATGTTGAATCTAAAATACTCCCATTCACTTACTCATCTATTCAACTAATATAGGAAAAATGATACAAAACATTGCTTTTGTGAACACTGCACTTCTGCTCTATCTTACTGTTCCATTTGTAACTGACTCTACTTTGTTCCTCAGAATTCTAAGAAAATAAAACACTCCCTCTGTCAATTGAAAGCATATATTTTGGATAGTTCAAATAAATCATCTAATTCCATAAATTAAAGTTATGTTTGGTTTGCTGGAATGTGCGACACAAAACAGATATTTATTTTTATTTACATGCGAAATAGTTTGTGTACTTCAAGATAACATTTGATATTAGAAAAGATATCAGAAGTTCATTTAGACCGAGTCTTTCGATTTATAGAACAGGAAGCTCAAGCTTAAGAAAAACTTACCTATTTGCTCAAAGTAACTTCGTTTTTAATACACTGAAGATTTTGATATCATATATATTTTATCTCGTTATGTTTAACTCAACATTCACCAGCAATTAATAAGTGGTTTATAACTCTCAATTGCCCATATACAATTTTTCGTGTCCTTCTTTTGTTATTTGTTTTGCCTTTGCTTGAAGCAATAAGAATATGAAGTCCTCAAGGGCAGGAGACAGTGTGATGCATGCTCCACTACCTCTGCTTGAAGAAGGGCACAGTTTGAAAGCAGGACCGTAAATTCTGCAGAAAACTAGCCTTTTATGATTTTCTAACAAAAAGGAGCCCCTTTCTTTATAACAATTTATTTTTTTATTGGAAAGGCATATATACAGAGAGAAGGAAATACTGAGAGAAAAATTATCCATTGGCCATTTTACCTCCTGAATGGCCACAATGGACAGAGCTCAGCTGATCTGAAGCCAGGAGCCAAGAATTTCTTCTGGGTCTCCCCTCAGGAACAGAGTCCCAAGACATCAGGCCATTCTCTATTGTTTTCCCAGGCCACAGGCAGGGAGCTGGATGGGAAATGGAGCATCCAGGACAAGCACTGGCACCCATATGGGATCCCAGTGGATGCAAGTGAGCGTTTAGCCACTAAAATATCATGCTGGGCCCAGGAGCTTCAGTTTTAAGTCAGTTGAAATAAACTAAAAAATTCTTCTGCTGTTTATAAAGTATGACTCTTTTTTTCTTTTAAATTTTTTTCTTTCATGATATGGTTCCTTAGGCAAAAAATGACTTCCTCTTCCACCCACCCCATTCTTCCCCATACTGTTTTCTCCCATATTATTGCAATAGTACAGTCCTCTGGAAGTCAGCATGGAGAGTACTAAGACAATTGAAAGTTGATCTACCATAAGATCTAGCTATTCCACTCTAGGGAATATATCCAAAGAAAGTGAAATCAGTATATAAGAAAGTGATTTTCAACCTTATATTTTCAGCGGCACAATCTACAATAGTGAAGGCACGGAAATAAACAAAATGTCTATTGAAAGCGGAATAGATAAAGAAATTGTGGTAAGACTATTTCATGGAATACTACTTAGCCATTAAAATGAATGAACTTCCACATATACAATAAAACTGTCCCAACCAGAGACCATTATTCTCAGTGAAACAAGTCAATTCCAAAAGGGCAAACATGATATGTTTTCTTTGGTATGAGGCAATCTTCATACAAAATACACTATCAATAAATACATAGGTAAACATGTATATAATGCATATATTCACCTAGAGGAACTGTTTAATGGAGACTAGCATAAATTATGACTCTAATAGTATCAACCATAATTATTATTAGCTGTGACTTACTGGTGTCTTTCCCTACTCTTGTCCCCGGCAGGTCATCCTTGCCTACTGAGCCCTCACCTATCCCGAAACAGCCAAACAGAGGCACAGTATCTTTTTACAATGATCATACACTTAGTGCAAAAAGACAGTTAAGGAACCATTGTTGTGGTGTATCAGGTTATGCTACCACCTGCAGTTCCAGCACCCTTATGGATCCCAGTTCCTGTCCTTACTGCTCCACTTCTGAGCCACATCTATGCTAACGCATGTAGGAAATCAGTGGAAGATGGCACTGGGCCCCTGCACCTTCCTGGGAGACCTGGATGAAGCTTCTGATTCCTGCCTTCAACCTGGCCAAAACTTCGTCATTGTAGCTATTTAAGGGGTGAATCAATGGATACAAGACCCCTCTCTCTCTCCCTCTGTTTCTCCTCGCTCTGTAACTCTCTTTTAAATAAATAAATAAGTAAATAAAGAAATAAACAAATAATAAATACTATAACTGCACAAATAATATTATAAAGGAAATAGGAAGTAATATGATAGAAATAGGGCTCACAAGGAACACCTAGGTTTTCACTATCTTAATAATCTCTCTGAATGGATATCAGTTGAATGTGACCTCAGCAACACAGAGCAGTCCCTCTCTACCCCCAAAAATAAATTTGTTGGGAATAACTGTTTGACTTAGAAAGTGAAGTAAGTGACATGGACAAGTTGGGCAGGAAGATGCCAGTGGAATGAAAACCTTGTGAGCAAATATGAAATGGTGGGAAAGAGGATGGAAGACCCAACTAGGAGCCAAATAAAACAGTGTTTTGTAAACCATTGTAAAGATCTTAGATTTACTTGTAACTCCCCTGGGAGGCACTGAATTTTTCTAATTGGAGCAGATGATCAGTATTCATTTTGAGAGGATTATTTTCACTTCTGAGAAAGAGAAGGGGCTGTAGCTATGAGTAAATAGTATACAGTGAGAAACAGGGAGGCAGTTTGAAAAGTTAATACAAGGCCTGGCACAGTAGCCTAGGGACTAGTCTTCTCCTTGAATGGGCTGGGATCCCATATGGGTACTAGTTTTAATCCTGGAAGTCCCGCGTCCCATCCAACCCCCTGTTTGTGTCCTGGGAAAGCAGCAGAGGATAGCCCAAAGCCTTGGGACTCTGCACCTGCAAGGGGACCTGGAAGAAGCTCCTGGCTCCTAGCTTCAGATAGGCTCAGTTCTGTCCATTGCGATCACTTAGGGAGTGAATCATTTGATGAAAGATCTTCCTCTCTCTTTTCTTCTCTGTTTATCTGACTTTCTAATAAAAATGAAAATAAATCTTAAAACAAAAGAAAAACTAATGCAATTGTCCTATCAAGAGAGGAATACATACATGAGACATAACAGTGCTTGAGAAGTAGTATGTGATTTTAGCCTTGTGAACTATTCAACATAAACCCATGGACCAACCTGTTTGATTCTCTAAAAGCAACATAGGTATGTATGTATAACAATATGTATATGAGGCCTTGAGCAAATAACTTGGCTTTGTCTCAGTTTCCCTGTTGTGGTCTGGGGATAAGAACAGTATCAACTTCAGGTGTTGTTGAGGAGTATTCAGAGTGATAGTGGCCCAAGTATGTGTAGGAAATGTATGACCATATTACCCCTTTCAAATGAACCCATTATGCATAAAGCTGATTTTTTTATAGTAATTTCAGTTCTGATCTCTTTATTTCTCTTTCAGTGTAATCTTTTTTTGTAAATTATTCAAGATTTTTTTATAATTCATTTAGATTTTCATAAATTAACATGATAAATATTTAGACATAAAGTGAGTAAAAATATTTACTGTTTCAAGTAAATATTACTTGGTGAAACTCAGTTATCATTCTCTATCTCACAGTTCACTAACGGCTTTCTTGGAAATTTCCTATACAGAGTTGCAACCATAAGTTAGATTCAGGATGGGAAATTCATGTCAGCCGAAAGAAATTTGATGTAGGAAACCATGTTCCATAAAATTGTTGGAAAGGCTGGTGGTGCAGTTCCCAACTACTGGTCAGAGATCATTCACAGAATATTAGAAAACAGATGTCGGGCCTGGCGGCTTGGCCTACTGGCTAAGGTCCTCTCCTTGAACGTGCCGGGATCCCATATGGATGCCGGTTCTAATCCCGGCAGCTCCACTTCCCATCCAGCTCCCTGCTTATGGCCTGGGAAAGCAGTCGAGGATGGCCCAAAGCTTTGGGACCCTGCACCTATGTGGGGTACCCAGAAGAAGTTCCTGGATCCTGGCTTCAGATCAGCTTAGCATCAGCCGTTGCGCTCACTTTGGGGGGGCGAATCATCGGACGGAAGATCCTCCTCTCTCCTTGTCTCTGTATGTCTGTCTTTCCAATAAATAAATCAATCTTTTTTTTTTAAAAAAAAGAAAACAGATGTCAAGGGGCTCCACCAGAACTGGCATTTTCAAACTGAATAGTTAAGGTGAAGGAACCAGGGAATAGGGTAAGAACCATTTAAGCACATGGACAATCATCAGCCAGGGAGACTCGGAGAGGTCATTATCCCAGGAAATAGGAGAGGATGGGTCAATAGCAGATGGACACCTGAAGGCTTATGGACATGGAGAAGCATCAAAGACAATGGAGCAGTGTTACAGTGACCAGACACCCCAGTGGTGGTTGGTGACTGGCAATTGGAGTTCCACTAGTGGCCAGGCGGAGAGAGGAGTTCACCAGAAGCTTAGAAGGTGAACCCAGGCATAGAACTGCCCATCTCACTGATTTACTTGAGTTGACCATTAGCAGAAACAGAGGAGCAGAGCCCAAGTAAGCAGATACAGGAACAGGGTGGATTTCTGGCTCAGATCTCCACCAGTGCCACATTGGGCACCATTTTCTATGTTGAGGAAAAGTCTGTGGAGCTGGAGAGACAGCAAGCTGCACGTGTGCTAAGGCATGACTGAGTTCATTTCTGGTTTAACACATTGCACTGGTCCCACAGGGAAAACAGTCCCTACTTGGCATCTTACCGCTTCAGTTCAAAATAGTCCTGGTTGGCCTCCAGTCCTGAGAGCCAGCAGGCAGGCCCAGGCCTCCACCTATATCACATTGGACACCATTTTGTATACTGAGGAAAGGCTGTGGGGCTGA